TTCTGTGAATTACAAATTCAAGCCAACCGTTAAAATTCAATTTTTTGTGATTTGACAGATTACTGTAGGAAACAGATACAAACTAGAATTTAACGACAGGGAAAGGTCACATTTTAACCTTAAGAAATGGGCTGGAACGGTTTGCTAGTAATTGGCGTTCTTGTTCAGAGACGGAACAAAGGCCAGGATTTCTGTTCTTTCTGAAAAAAAACGAGTCGAGAGAAAGTAGGATTCCACGCTCAGCTATGTGGACAGTTTAGGAAAGTGAACTACGTGTGACAAGGAGTTCACACCACCAAATGTGACCTCTGTTTTTAACCCATGAACAGTGACAGCTGTAAGACTACAGGAAGCAGCATGTGCTGGTGGACTCGAACCTGCAACCTTCTCAGCTGTAAGACTACGGGGAGCAGTGTGAGCTGGTGGACTCGAACCTGCAACCTTCTGGACCCAAGTCCGCTTCCTTACCCACTGAACCACCACAAAAAAAATCAATTTAAATTGATTTGTCACTATGCCCTGTTTAAAAAATAAAATCAATTTAAATTGATTTGTCACTAATCAGGGTGAAGAAACAGTAGGTAAGTTTGATTTCTTCCTGGCTCTAACTTCACTTATTAAAATAAATATATTATTTAAAGCCCTTTTTTGATGCATTTGATAATGGAAATATCTGATGACTGTTACATTTTGCAGCATAAAAACCGTGCCTGGAATAAAGCAAGGGGTCGTTGGAAAAGGTATGCAGCACGGGATGAGCTCTACGTTACCGTCAGCACGGAGAGCAGACTGTCACAGCCTGCCTTCTCGTGCATTATCTCCAGCCAAATACGTCGGTAGGCATTCAGGAGGTAATTGTTATTTTTATGCCTGAGGAGAGAGCACAGGCTGAACGGAGACACAAAAGAGACAAGACGACTCCTGAACGTCAACCGTCAAACTGTGAGACATCGCCCAGGGGGCGCCACAGCTGGACCTGGACCTTAACTTTGTTACTGCGAACGGACAAAGTTGTGGCTGCGCTGGAAATAATCATGAGCTTTACTGTGTCAACAACCGTGAATGAAGTCCAGGCCAGGGGTTGGACACACACACTGAGGACGACCACCCGCAGGTTGAACGCTGTAATTGTTTTACTTCCT